TGAGCATTCTTGCAAAATGTACCAGAATCCTACAGAGAGTAGAGACTCTTAGGGTAATTTTTTGGCTTATCACAGCATGTAAATGATACTCTGGAGGTATATGAAATAATCATAAATGAACAAGATAGATTTACCTGTCATGAAAAACTTGTAAGACAAGTTAAGAGGTGATGGCCTACTCTGGACAGTTAATCCAGAGACCCAGATAATGTTCTGGGGACCTGGGTTTGAATCCTGCCATGGCAGATGGTGGAATTTGAATTCAATAATATCTGGAATTAAGAATCTAATGATGACCATGAATCCATTGTCGATCGTTGGAAAAACCCATCTGGTTCACTAATGCCCTTTAGGGAAGGAAACTGCCATCTTTACCTGGTCTAGCCTACATGTGACTCTAGACCCACAGCAATGTGATTGACTCTTAGCTGCCCTCTGGGCAATTAGGGATGGACAATAAATGACGCCCTCATCCCATGAATGATGATTTTAAAAAAAAGAGAATGAAAGAACTGCAGATGCTGGAGTCAGAGATAACACAGTGTGGATCTGGAGGATCACAGCAGGCCAGGCAGCATCAGAGGAGCAGGGAAATCTGATGTTTCAGGTTGGGATCCTTCTTCAGAAGAACTCATAACCAAAGAAGAATGCCAGTTGCAGGACTAAGAGAATGCTGCATTAATGGAGATGCTGTCCTTTACCAATTCTATCATTCAAATTGATGTCAAAAAGGATCTTTGACGACAAACACCAAAAACTTAGTCTTTTAGTTCATGCTTTTATGTGGGATCTTGGGAATCTGTACACCAGCTGATACATTTGTCTACAGAACAAATGTTTGCTGAATTTCAAGAAACTCCACATGAAGCTCTTTTGAAAGCTAGAGAAACATAAGCGGGGGGTGCATATTATAGAGATTCATGATTTCACACCATATGCAAGCTTAGTGGCTTTACTGTTTACTTCATTTTCATATGAATGGAAAGAAGCGAGTTAGCTCCTCGAGGCTGATCTGTGGCTTAACTCCATATGACCCCTTTCACTTAATACATTTCTACTGAACAACAAAATCTTGCAAATTCAGATTTATTAATCTAACGTCAATTGCAGTTTTTTTTTTGAGAGTTCCAAATCAACGCGTAGATGTGATTCTTAACTTCACTCCAGAAAGGTCTGCTCTGATTTTTGACCAAACCTGCTGGTTCTCATCTCAAGATCTCACTTGGATTCTCTCCCAACAAGTCTTATTTCATGCTTCATCTTCCCTGTTATACTGCAACCAGCCTCTTTGGATTTCATACATCATCTATACTACTTACTGTTAAGTTTTGAAACCTAAGCTTTTATCTCTCCAATGTGTACATAACAATTGCCTTCCTTTAAAGAGCTATCCAAAGTTGTCTCAACCCGTTTTTCAGTGCTTGCCCCATGGCAGTTTTCTCCTCGTTTGACCTGTTCTTGCATTTTCAACTTCCTCAGTGTTCATTCAACAAGCTTGAACCCATTTCCTGTTTGATGAACTTGGACAGCAGGCCAGAATTGTTGGCTCTAACCAGTTTACTTCTTGAAGACAGTCTTCTAAATAACTAATTTTAAAGATTGGAAGCCCATGAAATCATTTTTCAGAATTCTGGTTTCAAACTTTGGGATCTGTTTCTGTACTGTTTGCATCTATTTTCTGACATAGAACTGTAAGCCATATAGGGAACAAATCAGGGAACTGTGTGACTTCGCAATGGACTCCTGACACTCAACCTCAAGAGTTTGAAAATATAACTCAGCATCATATTTGCCTCATTACCATCTCAGATTGGTGAATGCCAACCAAATTACCACCCTTTATTTGTTTCAAATTCCCCCTTATCCAGTTCTATCCTACCAAAGACACCTATTCTTACTTCAAACATAGTTAAGTGGTTAGAATTTGACTGCATTTTTAATTGACAGCTGAGATATAGGCTCAGATATTAGTCTCATACCATTTACTTTCCCCCACCATATTTCAATTGAGAATTTAGCTAGCATGCATTTCAGCAATGTATTAAGAACAGAAAATGTTCCATCACGTACTCCACACTCATTGTCAAGTACAACAGCAATCATTGGATAATTTTCTATCGAGTAGGTTCATCATAGAATCCCTACAGTATGGAAACAGGCCATTCAGCCCAACAAGTCCACACCGACTCTGCAAAGAATCACACCCTGACTCACTCCTGTACCTTATCCCTGTAATCCTGCATTTCCCCACAGCTAATCCACCTAATTTACACATCCCTGGACAGTATGGACAATTTAGCATGGCTAATCCACCTAACCTGCACATCTTTGAACTGTGGGAGGAAACTGGAGCAGACACGGGGAGAATGTGCAAATTCCACAAAAACAGACGCCTGAGGCTGGAATCCAACCTGGGTCCATGGCGTTGTGAGGCAGCAGTGCTAACCACTGAGCCACTGTGTCGTATTCTTGTTTGGTCAGACATATTGAGTGAAAAATCAAGGATGAATCTAGTGTCAAAAAACTTTTGAAAGCATTTTTAAACCACTAATAAAAGGCTACTGCTGTGAAAAGTGAAGCCCAATTATCTCTCTTTAGATTGAAGGAACAAAGTAAATGGTTTGCAGTCATGCAACTCCTTCTGCCTATCTCAGAATACTGTTGGGGGGGATATTATTTAAGTTGAAGAGATTGTAACGGAAAACAGGGCAAGTAAGAACAATAAAATTTAGTGCACGTTGTTGTTAAATAGAGGTTACCAAATATATCCCAAGATAGTACAAAATCTGAGATGACAGGAAGGAACTGTACATTGATGATTGGTTAATAAGGATAGTCTATGGCTACAACAACTTATTTTAAAAATGTATATCAGAAGAAAGCTGGAAGAAATCTAAGATCTTCTACATTTATGGTTATAGAGGAGCTGGAGTTAAATGTGGCAGTTCAGTTAAGGGCAGGACTTATACAATTAATGATTCGGCTTTGGGTAGTGTTGAAGAATAGAGGGACCTAGAGGTGCAGGTACATAGTTCTTTGAAGTTTGCATCATGTATAGACAGGGTGTTAAAAACGAGTTTAGCACACTTGCGTTCATTGCTCAGTCCTTTGAATTAGGGGTTGAGATATCAAGTTGAGCTTGTACAAGACATTAGTGAGACTTCTTTTGGAGTACTGTGTCCAGGTCTGGTCGCCCTGTTATAGAAAGGATAATATTAAGCTATAAAGAGAATTCAGAAGAGATTGACCAGGATGTTGCTGGGTATGGAAGGTTTGTTATAAAGAAAGGCTGGGACTTTTTTCACTGGAGTGTAGGAGGTTGAGAGATGACCTTATAGAGGTTTATAAGATCACAAGGGATATAGATAAGGTTAATGTTAGGTGTCTTTTGTCTAGGGTGAGTGATTTCAAGATTAGAGGGCATAGTTTTAAGGTGAGAGCAGAGAGATTTATAAAAGACATGAGGGGAAATTTTTTTTTTGAAACACAGATGGTGGTTCGCATGTGGAATGAACTTCCTGAGGAAGTGGTGGATGCACGCACAGTTGGAACGTTTAAAATACACTTGAATAAGCACGTGAATAAGAAATGTTTGGAAGGATATGGGCCAAGCACAGGCAGGTGGGACTATTTAGTTGGGATTATCTTCGGCATGGACTGGTTGGACCAAAAGGTCTGTTTCTGTGCTGTACAACTCTATAATAGTTGATAGAACAAGAACAAAGAAAATTACAGCACAGGAACAGGCCCTTCGGCCTTCCAAGCCTGCACCGACATGCTGCCCATCACAAATAAAACCCCCTACCTTTACTGGGACCGTATCCTTCTATTCAAAACGCCCTTTAAAAGTCACTATCTTATCTGCTTCCACTACATCCCCCGGCAGTGAGTTCCAGGCACTCACCACCCTCTGTGTAAAAAAAAACTTGCCTTGTACATCACCTTTAAACCTTGCCCCTTGCACCTTAAACCTACACCCCCGTAGTAACTGACTCTTCCACCCTGAGAGAAAGCTTTTGGCTGTCCACTCTGTCCATGCCCTTCTTAATCTTGTAGACCACTATCAGGTCATCCCGCAACCTCCATTGTTCCAGTGAGAACAACCCAAGTTTCTCCAACCTCTCCTCATAGCTAATGCCCTCCATACCAGGCAACATCATTCAGTGATTGAGTAGCTTAATCATTTCTGAGGCACTTATATCTAATATGCCTATTTGATTAACTTCAGTGAAGCATTTATGCTAGAATAGCTAAATTTTTGATGGCCTTCTTAATTTCAATTCTTGTGGCTTGCAATGCCTATAAAACTCCAGTCGTATGAGGCTGAATTCCCAATGGCCATAAATACTAAACTGGAATTCCCAATGACCATAAGTATTAAACTGTAATGCACAAATGTTGCCATGCTGTCCTAAAATTAGCCACTGCATTAAAATCATATTAAACAGGTGAGTTATTAATTCAAATATCTGTGAACCTGGTTATACCATAAAATTTAATTTATATTACATTTTGACATCTAGTTATGCATTCTCTAGTCAATAAAATAAACATTAACAAAAATCAAATTTGCCAATGATTCAAATAAACTGTTCTGTTGAAGCATCATTCAGTCCAAATCATCACTGTATTGCTATAATCTGTACTTCAGTTCCATGACAGCTTCACAGAAGCTTTGGCAAATCAGTCAATGCTCTTTGCATGAAGGAAAACAATTGTGTTAAAAATCCAACATTGTTTGCATATTGCCTTTCATTGTTCTTTGCTACAAGATTCAAAGAACAAATTAATGTACATGTCTACTTGTTCTTCAATATTTGTCCTCTCCATTTTACATACTTGAGAAAATATGGTGACCACCTCCAATTACAAAATACAATACACATTAAATTAAATGTTTTTAATCTCTGAAGAGATTTAAAAATAGGTCTGGACTATTGCATTAGGGTTTCCTATTTTACCATGAAATATTTGTAAAGAATGGCTCCACAAGCAGTAAATCAAGTATGAGTGACCAGTTTTTAATTGTAAAGTAGGTGCAACATTATTAAAAATGTTACAACACTGCACGACCTGTAATGCTCACAATATTTACAATTAGTGTTCTTTACATGAAACCATAAAACCCTAAAGAGAATTTGCATGGACTGGAACAAACTACTCCTATCACCCACATAAATGCCATCAACCAATTAAAATCAAGTGCACAAAATACTTTACATGTTCTACTAATGTAAAGTATACATGTGAGAAAATACAAAACAATTAGATAAATGTCAAAACAAAGAGCAAAGTTGGTCATTACAAGACAGTTTAGGAGTAAAGCAAAGAAAGGCAAAATTAAATATAAAAGCACGCACCTTTGATGAATAAAACATTTTTTGACATAAAATAGCAGAAAAGCTGATTGATAAGAAAACACAGACACCAATACCATCAAAACAGAACACATCAACTTAGAATGGGGGAAAAAAGTGAAGGGAAAAAGAAAAATCATCATTTTACATGGAGTTTGCATGTGGGACCGTAGAGACCTCCATGCCATTGCACAAAAGACAGAGTTCAAACAGAAAGAAGTGAACATTGGCGGTGTGAAGTGTCTGCCATAATTAAGTTATCACATAACCATGCCTCATCTGCTGTTAAATACAAAAACAGCATCTTGCATATAAAAGCTTTAAGCGGCATTTTTATTTATCCTCTTTACACTGGTAGTCTCTTGTATGTGTAAATAGAAACCAAAGAATTTTGTACACTATTTTGTACAAGATAAACTGTGCATTAAGTATGCTTGTACATGACAACTTTATACAGTATTTACAATTTGATATTATCATGAAATTTTGCATATCTATATACACAATGAAAATTCAGAAACATTTGGACTGTTCAGTTTTTGATATTCTTGATCTTTTAGTACTGTAGAAAATGTCACTTCATAGGCAAGCAGTAGATAAACTGTAACCATGATCTCACAAGGTTTCTGATGAGCTATCCAGCATATAATTTTTGCTCATTATTGAAGAAACACTGTACCACAGTTCCATAGCACCTTGTAGCATAAGACTCTATATACACACAGTTCAACCCTATAACTATATCAGTGATGAAGACATTGAACGTTATCTAGAGATTTTTCGTCTCTTGGCTTTTGGTGACTTGACTTGTCTGTCCTTCTGAGTTGTCTGGTGAATCTGCAAAATGTAAATTGTAGTACAAATTAGACCATTGAAATGCTTCCAATTTCTTGAATAAAATTTAACAAGCTAAGATATAAATGAAAACTGTATGACTGTTGAAAAAAAATTATTAGTATGCCTGAACTATTGAAATCATCTTAGCATCACAATCAGTCTTTGTGCTTCCAAAGTTGCTCTTGGGAACAGAAAACATTTAATCAATAGTTTACTTTCAATTAATCCAAACTTGGGTGTAGTGTAGGTCTAAGATGGTTGAACTGTCAAAATTAATCTCAAATTCTATTCTTTTCCTACATTTCAAGCAGGTGAGAATAGATTTGACAACACATACCTGATTGAAGCATAGAATTCCAATGTTCTGCAACAAATAATTCCCTAGTGAATATATTTCTTCATCATAGTATAGTACTTGAGTACAATTCCCAATCCAAGCATAAAACAGGATTCTCAATTATCATAATGTTTAAGATAAAATTGAAATTATACTTTAGATATATATGTTTAATTGTATCTTTAACGGAGTGCAATCTATACTTTTTAAAGAATATATTTGAATAGGTTCCTGAAACAAAAGATCTGTACATTGGCTTCTTTAATCCAGTCGACAGAAATCTTGATCCAAGCATAACAAGTCTTGGATATCTGACACTTACCAGGATTCAAATATATATATATATAGGGTACTTGTAAGCTTTGCCCACCTTTAAACAAGTTTATATAACCCAAAAGATAAAAAGTCACAAATTGGCAGTAGAGCATAAACAGTAAATAGAAGCTTTTCACTTGTAGCTAGCTAATCTATTTGTACTACTGTTCTAATTTCAATGAGCAGCAAAGAAAGGTGTGTAGAATACTTCTGATTTAAGTTCACATGGCTCATTTCAGACAGTTAAAACAATTTATTCACTCAGTCCACATAGGGAACTTCAATTTCTGGAAGCAGCATCACTGTTATCAGTCTAAAGCAAACAGATCTATTGGCACAAAGCAAATGGGTGCTTTGATGTTGTGAAAGATGCTATAAAAATGCGCGTTCTTTCTCAAAAAAAATGTTGAGATGTATGTGAACAACGGATGGAGGTAAAGAATGAAAACTCAGATTTAGCTGTTACCACAGTAATGTCTCAAACATTTCAAAACATTGATTACTTTTGAGGCATTGCTAGTTATGTTGGCAAACACAGCAATCATGTTGTCAACAGAGATCTTGCAAACAATAATGAGTGTATCATGCTAACTTGTTTTTGGTGGCATTGATTAAGGGTGGAATGGTGGCCATTCCACGGGATATACTTCCATTGACCTTTAGTATGCAAATAAACCACTGGAAGAGACAGAAAAGTCTTTGCTTTAGCATCTCATCTGAAGAAATGCGCCATGAATAATGCAACATTCCCTTGCTAATAAATACACAATCTAGACGTAAACTGGGTTAAGGATCAAGCTGGTACATTTCTGACCCAAGTTGAAAATCCTGCTAAATTAGCCAAACATACAACCCACAATGACCAAGATGTTTGTAACTGCTAATAAGGATCAAGTCCAATGCACAAACAACAGTGAGATGAAAACAATCTCTACATGAATAGGGCCCAGAAGAAAAATAGCTTGTTTTTGATTAAGGCGGGGTTCCTTTTTGTTTTGAAGTTTCATATGCAGGGCTTTATGTTGTTTTATCATGTTTTCTGGAGTTTCGTGGTTTTACTCTGGAAGCAGTATGAACAAAATATCAGATACATACTCGAGTGAATTGGAAGAAGTAGAGATGACGCAGCGTAAGAATAAGAGATGAGTGTTTTGTCTTTCAGAGCTGTTAGTACGTCGAATTCATTTCCTGTAGAAAGTAGTGGAGGCTTGATCATCAAGTTTATTCAAGGCAGAATTAGATTTTCAGAATTAAGGATTGTGGGACAGACAGGAATGTGGAGTTGAAACTACAACCAGATCAGTCATGAACATATTGAATGGTGGAGCAAAGTCAAAGGACCAAATGGCCTACTTCAGCTTCTTAGTTCACCTCTACAATCTTCAAAACACTGAAATTTCAATTATGTCATAAAGCAATTGTTTTGAATATTGCTGGAATCATCTGAATTATCTTGATCATATTTCAACAGCTAAACAATACAGAAAGCAAGTACCAACCAAAAACAAGAAAAGCTGTTCCTTATATATAGGTTAAGGCCCAACTGTCAATATAGTGCAAAATGTATGCAATTGCCTTATTATTCTAAGAATCGTTTTTCATTTGGTACTGTGGATCTTACTTCTCAATCTTGAATATGATCATCATTGAGTAAAGCTCATGACATTGAGATGTTATGGATCAAAATGAATGAAGAACATCAGCAACATACTATTAATAACACATGCTAGATTCCCAACTATGGAAGCTAAGTATGTGCTTTAAAATTTCAACTCAAAACATTTCTCAAAACTTTTTACTGTATAAATAGCATATTCCACAGCCGCCTGGGTGATGCAATGCTTCCAGTTTATGGGCTAGATACAGCACATTTTTTTTACTTTGTTTTTCTTAATCGCACTCACTGTATAATGTTTCATGCCAGTAGCTGTGGTATTCTCCATTTATACTGAAACATTTCCAATGTTCCAATTCACTTACCATGTAACTGAATGGAATAACACTCCCATTATGACAATACTGCTTTCACATAGTGAAAATCCAAGTGCTAATCTTTCATCGTTTAGCCCAGAAGGAACAGCGGATTGTGCTTCACAAATCAATGGTAATCGTTGTCAGGGTCATAATGCACTTAATCTCTGTCTGCACACTGAATCTCTTAAATATACTTCTTAAAAGCGTTCATTTCAGTTCAGCTACAGGAAAGCGTCTCAGGAGCAGGGTCTTTTTTTCTCAAGGTAGGCAGCTCGATTCAGGTCAGGCTCACAACCTGAAGAAGCAGAGAACGCAGTAAGTTGAAATTCAACTACAATTCAGGAAACCCGTTTCAGGATCGCAAACTATTTGTGTGTGTGTGTACACTGTTAGTACACAGCCATTTCTAGGATCACAACTTGCTGCTTTCTCAGTTTCAACAATTTGTCAGTCAGTACATCTTAGCCAGCTCCTGATACCATGAAATGTTTCAAACCCTGCTATATGGAAAGGCTGCTACTGATGGAAAAAGCTTCATATTACCAATGCATGACTTATAAACCTATCATCCCATAGATATAAAATACACAAGGCAAAAGAAGAGGTCGGTATAGGACCGGAGAACAATTGTTCAGAACAGCATCTAAATTAACTGGAAAGTTGGTTGACTACTTCCAGATTTTAATGTAGAAACATCATTAACTGCATCAAAAATGGGGCAAAGTAATTTAATAAAATGACACTTACTTTCTGGCAATACAATTGAAACTTTAAAAAAGTAGAAACCAGAAAGAAGATTGATGATTTAAGATGCAATAATCCATGGAAAGAGGATTAATGACAAAATTGAACTGAATAGTTATAAAAGCTCAGTTGATTTCAAGTATGTCAAGTTCAATCTGTTAAACTTTTTTTTGTGTTGCCTGGCATATTAGTCTTTGATCTTTATTTACACAGCAAATTTCCAGTGTTGCCTTTCCTGAACACGGCAAAAATAGATTAAACTCACCTGAACTATATCAAGTAGATATTCAAAAGGTAAAAATTAATAAGAATTTCACATTGTTACTGGGCAACGCTCCAAATAAATTGGGCAATGTTCCCATTAATATGTCAGTGCTTTCTCAAGTCACAGTATACTAATGACGTTCATTTACAGACATTATATCCTACTAAGAAAGGGAAGAGAGTGGACAGAGTTACTTTTGCAGATAGCTGACACAGCACAACCAGCTAAATACACGCAGTAACCGTTGTGGTATACCCCATTCTACAACTGTTCCAAATATGCCACTTGTAGAGAGATAAAGTTGGAAAACAGACATTTTCTGCTCCTCTTATTTATGTTTGTATTACATTTTAAAGCTTTTACAAATCAGTTTATTCAACTATTTTTTTGTAAAAATTACTCTCCATTAATCCAATTGGCCATTTTGAACCCTTTTCAAAGTCTGTGCAAGAATCACACTGGATGGAAGTACATGACAAAGTCGTCAGGGAACAAAACTGGACTCCGAAAATCTCAATTTTTTTGGGAGAGTCATTTGTTAATTAAAAGCAGCTTGCTATTATAATCTCAAGATTTATTAGAATTGAGATCGTCATTGAATTCAGCAGAAATTTGCATTGAAAACTCAAAGAATTTAACTTCTGATACTTAAATATGATTTTGACTTAGACATTTATCTCATTAAAAGGATACATGGATGGGAAATGCCAAAGACCTGCCAAAATGTATCTCAGTTGAATTTTGCTTTTTTAAAAAAATATTTATAAACTAAAGGACATCATAACGAACATAATATCTTAGGAGGTTTTAATTTTCACACAGGTGACTGTGAAATCCATCATAAAGTTCAAAGTAAAATATTGCACACGGAGATCTGAGATGTATATAATGTACCGGAGAAACTCAACAGATCTGGCAGCATACACGGAGACAGAGTCAATGTTTCAAGTCTAATTACTCCTCTTCTGGACTGAAGAGGACTGGACAATGATCGTTTTTAAAAGTGGGAGGAGGAGCAAGTGATACAAACAGTGAGCCTGCCTAATGCAAAAAACAAAGGCAGTGACAATAGTAGTAAAGGAGTGATCTTAATGCAAAATAAGTGTTTCATGATAGGTGTGAATAGTCAAACTAGTTGGGCTTTGCTGACAGCAAACCCCTACACAAGATTTGGGAAGGGGTGGAGACATAAAAATGGAGGACAGTTTCATACTCTGAAGTTGTCAAACTCAATGATGAGTGTCGAAGGTTGTAAAGTACCACAGCATAAAGTGATGTGTTGTCCCACCAGCTTGCATTGGCCTTCACTGGAATACTGCAGCAAACCCAGGACAGCCAATATTAGCACAAGGTCAAGATGGTACA